GGGTGACAGTGAAACAATTCCATGTGATGGCAGAGGGAAGCAGCCAGGGCAGATCCATGTCTGTGCAGATGAGGATGGAATGGCAGGGCAGGGAGAGGATCTGTGGGCAGGGACAGCATGGCACCAGTCCTGTCTGGGCTCTGCAGAGCAGGAGGAAAAAGGGAGCACACAGTCCATCCAGTCTGTGATGGCTGAGGAGTCCTAAGGAAAGAAAGCAGCAGAGCTCTGGGTGGCTGCCTGGCTCTGTGTTTGCCTGTTTGGGGTTTACAGGGGAGCCCTAAGGAAAGAAAGCAGCCCTAAGGAAAGAAAGCAGCAGAGCTCTGGGTGGCAGCCTGGCTCTGTGTTTGCCCGTTTGGGGTTTGCAGGGTGGTGCCCGTTCCGTGTCCCCATGGCAGGGTGCCCCAGGAGTGCTGCGTGTGTGTGCCCCTGGCATGGCAGCGGGGCTCAGCCCAGCCCAGGCGAGGAGGGGGAGCTGGGCTGTGTCAGAACAAGCCTCGTTGATCAATCCCTCAGCAGAGAAGGGAGGCAGGAATTGCCATAACAACAGCGACGTTTAATTCGATTTTCTGCCTGACTCCGACCGCGGGGTCTTGGGCGCTAATTCCTGCTCGGAGTGGGGCATCCAGGCACCGTGTCTGGCCGTGTCCCCTGTGAGCAGGTCCAAGGGTTAATTCCCATCCACAGCAGAAAAAAAAAAGGGAAAAGATGCAGTGAATGTCTGCAGCTCCAGCTTCCAGCCCTGAGGCTGCCGTGCCGTGAGGAGCTGCAGAGCTGCAGCCTCTCCTGCCCAGGGATGTCTCCAGCTCCAGCCTGGCCACGGATCAGAGCCACTGTCTGCTCCTGTCCCTGCCACCCCTGGGACTGGGGCCAGCCTGGCCCACAGCAGGGACTGCTGCTCTCCTGAGCTGCCTGAGCCTGTGCATCCTCTGCCAACTCCTCACTGTGCTCTGCTCCAGCCCAGGAAGTTCTCCCAGGCCCCTGGATTTGCAGCAGCAGCAGGCAGGAACAAATCCCTGAGATCCCTCCTGCAGCATAGGGGTCCCTGCCAGCCCAGCCCCACCACACCCATGGCACTGAGCAGAAATCTGTCCCTGCTGAGCTCCTCTCTCTCCTTGCTCTCCCCAGTGTGACCAGTACAAGAAAGGGATCATTTCTGGCTCCACGTGTAAGGACCTGTGTGAGGAGCGCAGCCTCCTCTTCCAGCACTGCCTCTCCTCCTCCCCCAGCCAGCAGGTAGGTCTGTGCCCCCCAGCCGTGCCAGGGGCTGGGCACCAGCACCAAACCCTGCACATCTGCCCCTCTGCCCACCCCAAACCAGAACCCAGCTCCCTCCAGCTGCTGTCCCCCGCCCTGTGCTCCAGGTTTACAGAGGGCTCTGGAGGGACAGGGAGGTGATCATCAAATGTGGCATCGGGGAAGCGCTGAGGGCCGACAGCCGCCCGGACTCTGTGCCCAGGAGGGATGTGGTGCTCTTCGACAAACCCACGCGGGGAACCTCCATGGACGAGTTCAAGGAAATGCTCCTCAACTTCCTGAAGGTCAGTGTGGGATCCCACAGGCCTGGGATGGCTCCTGCGAGTCAGAAACACCAACTGTGTTTGTCCTTCCCTTTGAACGAGAGCTCCTCCTGCCCGTGCCCCCCACCCAGTGCCACGCACTGCTTTAGAGCAGGAAATGAGTTCTTATTGTGAGATTTCAGGAGCAGCATCCCTGGAGGTGGCTGTGCCACGGCTGTGGGTGGCATCTGTGCAGGGCAGAGCTGATTTGGTGGCCCTGGCAGTTACCCCTGCTGGGGCTTCTGCAGCAGTGGTGGGGTAGCAGCTCTGGCAGGAGGCTCTAGAGCAGCCCTGAGGCTGGTAAAATTCTGCTGGAGCTGGATCTGCCCACACATGGTGTGGCACTGGATTTTCTGGAGCGTCACCATTTCCTCCTCTCCCCAGCTCAGTTCTTTGCTCCCCTGGTTTGGTTTTGTGATGTGACACCCAAACATGGAGAGCTGTGAGGGTCTGATGCCATTTCTTGTCCTGTTTGCAGTCCAGGCTGGGGGATCAGCCATCTCTTCCTGCCTTGGTGAGCCGGATCATCACCATGGCAGACGTGAACCGTGACGGGAAGGTGTCCCTGGCAGAGGCCAAATCCATCTGGGCGCTGCTTCAGCTCAACGAGTTCCTCCTCATGTTCTCCTTGCATGAGAAGGAGCACACGGCCAAGCTGCTGGGGCACTGTGGGGACCTTTATGTCACCGAGAAGATCCCCCACACGTCCCTGTACGGGGTGGATGTCCCTCCTTTCCTGCAGTCCCTGCTGCCTTCCATCGCCCACCAGCTCATCCACCAGTGGTTCGCGCCCGCCTGGCCCCGGCGCGCCAAGATCGCCATCGGCCTGCTGGAGTTCGTGGAGGAAATCTTCCACGGCACCTACGGGAACTTCTACATCTGCGAGAGCAGCCTCAGGAACGTGGGCTACAACGACAAGTACGACTTCAAAATGGTCAAGCTGCGCAAGGTGGCGACGGAGATGACAATCAGAGGCTTCCTCAAGGGCCGGCACTGCGAGCAGAACGGGGACTGCACCTACGGGCGGGACTGCACGGCCACGTGTGACAAGCTCCTGAAGCAGTGCAAGAGTGACGTGGTGCAGCCCAACCTGGCCAAGGTGTGCGGGCTGCTGCAGGACTATCTGCTCTACGGAGCTCCCCTGGAGCTGAAGGAAGAGCTGCAGAAGCAGCTCCGAACGTGCATGACCCTCAGCGGCCTGGCCAGCCAGATGGAAGTGCACCACTCCCTCGTGCTCAACAACCTCAAGACCTTGCTCTGGAAGAAGATTTCCAACACCAAATATTCCTAACGGGGGAAGCACGGCCCTGGAGTTTCCAATCTGGGAGCTTGGAGTGAGGCCCAAGGGGTGAAGGCCTGTTTGTCCATCCTCTCCCCCCCAGGAAAAACCCCCTGCACAGGGAGTTCAGCAGAGCTGCAGCCCCTTCTCCTTCATGGAAAACCATCATGGCTTGCACCACCCAGCAGGATCAGGGATGGGTCAGGAGCGGAGCTGGGACACGGAGCTGGGCTGAGCAGGCTTGGGGGAGGAAGAGGACACTGAAGCAGAGCCCAGCTGGATGCATTAAACTGTTCCTTGATGAGCAGGAAAGCAGAGCAAAGCGATGGGAATGAATCATTCATGCTGTACTTGTCACATCTCCTTTTGAGGAACGGCTCTGATGTAAATAAACAGCTTTTACGTGAATCACACCCGTCCATCAATAGCCAAACAGCAGCCTGTTAAGTACCAGCTTGTTTGTGATCTAAAAAGGAGGAAAAGGTAGATTTCCCCTTTCAAAGTCTCTCCTTAAGTATCTGATTCATCTGCCACCAGCTCCAGCTGTCACACAGGAAGCAGATCAGCTGTCTGTCGCACCGTGGAGAATCGTGGCAGTTCTTTGGTTCCGTATTTAAGTGCCTGACCCTGCCGGTGATGCCGTGAATTCTGTGAGGTTCCCCTCAGCTGCTCCTGCCCCAGCCCGGAATTGGCAGATTCCCTCCCGGGGCCGCTCTGGAAGCGGCCGAGGCCAAGGGTGGCTAAAGGCAAAGGGCTAAAGACGAATCTTTGTGACCCCCGGGTGTGCTCGGGTGTCACTGCCCATCGCACTCCGAGCAGGATAAGCCAACCCCTCCGTTCATTCTCCAAAAACTAAGCTGGGCTTGCCCTGCAGAGGTTGAAGGTTAATACCAGAATAATCCAGTGCTTCTCTCATTATTAAAATGAATTTCCAGGCAAAGCTTTTAGCAGGTCTCCAGACAATTTATTTTTTTGGCTGTGTTCACGCTCCCAGGGCTCCAACTATGGCCGTTTCCTAGAAATGCTCAATTACAGCAATCCCACAGCTCTGGGCAGGGAGAAGGGCTGGATAAACTCCCCCAAGGCTGCTCTGTTCCCAGCACAGCCATTCCTGCTGCTTCTCCTGCCAGCAATTCCTTAGGGAAGTGAGCGTGCAGCTGATGTGCAATCACAAAATAAAAATACACCTGACACCGCAGCACCAGGACTGCAAATTTAGGGGCCCTTTGGGGAGGAAGATCAGGATTTTCCTTCTGCTGGTTCTTTAGGCTCCCCATCACCTCTCACTGGGCACGTTTTGGTGTCAGGGGTGCTCCGTATCCAGCAGAGCGCACTCCCTGCTGAGGAGTGGCCTCTGAAATGTGATTTATCCATGGAAAAGGTGAGCACTGCCAAGGATTCTGCGTTTGAAGGGTTCCTCAGCCTGGATGGGGTTTGGGCACTGCCAAGGCCCCGTGTGCAGCTGCAGGGAGGGAAAGGCAGGGCTGGAATTCAGGCTCCCCATCCCTCGTCCTGCATCCCCATGGCAACAGCTCCCCTGACAAATCCATCTCCTCCTGCCACCAGCAAAGGAATCCAAGCCCCTGCCAAAATCCCCTCCTCAGGGCAGCAAAAAAGCTATTTTCCATCCTTCCCTCCACTGTTCCCTCCCCTCAAAGCAGTGTTAAAGCACCTGGAGAAGTGGAGGAAAACAATTTCCCCAACACCAGAACCTCTCTAAATGTTTATGAAGAGGTGGCCCCTGTAGCTGAGACCTGGCCCTGACAGTTTAATTGGAATAAAGACACTTGTGACAAAGCTGTTCATTAATGCACGCCCCCGCGGCCCTGCACACGCCCAGCAATTCTGCTCATCACTAACAAAAAGCACAAAGTGCTTTTTACAGTTTACAAACCACACCAGGATACAGGAGAGAAATGAGTCAAGGCAAAGCTGTTTTACACTCAGAATTCCTCCAGATTCCCCACAGGAGATGGAAAAAAAGCCAGGACACTCCAAGACTGACAGTCTGATCTCACTGGATTCCCTCTGTGCCCAAGGGGATGGAGGTAAAACCTTTTAATTGCTTTAAAACAACCCTAAATTCTCATATCCACAAAGTCTTACATCCTAGAATGGTTAAAAAATAGCATTACTTGGGGTGCTACAAACACACAGCATAATCCTTTCAGTCTTGTAGGTGGCATCTTTATTTAGGTTTTTTTTTAATTTAAATCCTTCTTAACCACGTAGAGAAAACACAGATGATCAAGTTTTAGGAATCTCCAAACCATCAGACGTGGATGCTGCCAGCCAGTTCTCAGTTGCCACATTTGTCAGACATTCTGCAGCTCAAGGCATAATCTGCAAATAAAAAAATAAGGCCCAAGATGTCAGAAAAGTTGAAAAACAGGCAAGAAAAGGGAGCAATTAAGTCAATACTAATGAGCCATCCAGACTCTGCTGCCCTCACTGGCTTTGGGTTGTCCCAAGATTTTTCACATCCCAGAGGAAATAAAGATGAAATATAAAATGAAACCACATTTTAAGGCTGCTATCAGGGTTCACAAGGAAACTTGTAGACAGGGATTTCCTTCAGTCCAGAAGGACATGGCAGAAATTTAGGAGAAGCTCTTTGGCATGGCATCAGAAAGGTTTTGGAAAAACATCTGGCTGGGGGAGTTTAGGAAAGGGATAATTTAAGAGCAGGATAGCTGGAGCCTGCTCTGGGTTATTCCATCACTCTAAAAATCCAAGGTGAGTTTGCCAACCTCGGTGCAGAGCCAAGCTATTAATAGTGCAGAGAAAAAAAAATCTGGGCTTTTTCCAGCTTTTACAGCCATGACATAAACCAGTCCTTGATGATGAAGGGCTGTGCTATGTGCAGAGAGATTTTTAATTTCTCTCTAAGCCACTTTCATGCAAAACATTCACGTTTTCCACAGCTGAGAGCCAGTTTTTCCTTCAGTAAAGCAATATCCATGGGCCAGGAGTGCTGTAAATGTTTCAGTAAATGCCACCAGGGAAATGTTCTGCTGTGCCTCACACAGGGAAGTTCTAAAGAGACACTCATTAGCACTCAGTGCCCACGCAGGACCCCTGGTGTGAGGAAAGCCTGATGAAAAACCCTAAACACGGATTGCAGGGTTAAAAGAAGTCAAGAAATTTAAATAAAAGAGCCACATCCTCAAGCATAACCACATCCCCACAACCTTATTAAGATTCTCTTCCAAAGCCAGTGACTGTTGCCAATTAAAGGTTCTTTTTGCACCACTGAGGCCCCTTTGGCCGTGTAATGGCCATTTAATGAGGTTTCCCATTTGGCAGTGCCACAGTTACTCACTGCAAAGCTCAGGGTCACAATCTCTGTGCCCAGAGCTGCTCTTGCTGTTTCTGCTGTCCCTCAAGAAGGGACAGTGACACACAGCACCAACTGCACACAGGGCCTGGAGCAAGCTGGGATAGCAGGAGGTGATGACGAGAAGGACTGAAGGACAGTGTCCATCCTCCACCATTCCCCACCAAAGGAAAGAGGGCAGGGAAAGAACAAGTGTCAGGTTGTTGAGCAATCCTGAGAGCTCACAGGGCTCAGAGCACCAGGGAAGACCTCGCCTGTTGCTGTCTGCCACCAAAAGACACAGCCATGGCACTGCAGCCACGCCTGCAACACGGAGCTGGGGCAGGGGCTGGCACTGCCAGCACTGCAGCTCACCTGGGCTGGGATGGGGCTGGCAGCTCACCTGGGCTGGGGCTGGCACTGCAGCTCACCTGGGCTGGGATGGGGCTGGCAGCTCACCTGGGCTGGGGCTGGCACTGCAGCTCACCTGAGATGGGCTGGGCTGGGGCTGGCACTACGGCTCACCTGGGCTCAGCTCCTCCAGGTCCACCTCTGGAAAAGGAGGAAAAACACATGGACAGCCTTCAGCCACACACCCCAAGCCTGGTTAAACTGCTTCACTGCCAGCAGGAATTTGTAAGGAGTAAATTCACAGCATGTACGTGGCAGGCACATTCTTCTCTCTCTCTCTCTCAGGGTTTTTTCATACAGGAGCACAGAGGGAAGAAGGAGAAAACAATTTCTGTTTCTGCTCCTTGATTTTCCCATGTGGAATGTGTTTGGAGAATTGTTTACCTGGGGTGACTGCTTGATTAAATTCTAGTAAGGACTGTTTGAGCCTGATGGCTGGACTCTCAAGAAGTCGTAAGTTGTAGTTAGTTAGATATCATAGTTACAAAATTAGGTTTGTAGTTTTAATATCTCTTTTAAATAGTATATTAATGTATTATAGTATAGTTATAATAAAGAAACTATTCAGCCTTCTGAACTAAAGTCAGGCATCATCATTTCTTCCCACCAGGTTCACCTACAGTTACAATACACAGAAATATTCTTATTTTCTGACAGGATGAAGTCCCAGTGTTGCCATGTGGTTTTACAGATCACTTCCACTTATTCTTCTGTAACACACCCACAGAACCAGAACCCCACGTGCAGCCTAGAACAGAACCTCCCCTCCTGGAACACCCAGACCTCACAGCCCAAGCAGCTCAGGGTTGGTTTTTCCCCAGTTTCCCTTCAGGCTGATGAAGGATGTCAGGCTATCAATCACTCTGAGTGCCCACGGGGTGCAGAACAAACGAGCGTAGAACATAGCCTGGGTCTCTCTTGCCACTCTTTGACACAAAGATGCCACAGCAGCCATCTCTGCAACGCCAGTGGCAGCCTGGGGGGAAGGAATAACCCCAGAACACTGAAAAAACTCAATTATGGGTGCATGTCCATCCCTGGAAGTGCTCAAGGCCAGGCTGCATGCAGCTCTGAGCAGCACGGGAGAATGGAAGGAGCTCCTTCCAACCCAAACCACTCCATGATTCTGTTGTATTCAAAAGGAGATTTTATCACCTACTTAAAAGCAGTTTTACAAAGGAGAGATGCCACATGTAGCACTCCACTTACAGTTAGGAAGATGGCTGAAGGTTTCTCGGACACCTTTTTTCTGAAGGATCACCCTTCATTTCTGAACTCACACCATCCTGGTCACTTCATTTTTTTTGCAGACTGAAGAAAGAAAAACAAAGGCAAAATGCTGTTAATAATCACCTAATAGCCTTTTTTTTTTCGTGAAACACGCTATTTAACTGAAAACCAGAAAATTACAATAGTTAAAATAAAAGTATCTACTTAAGATTCATGTTAGCTACTAAAATATTTGGAAACATTTTCTTGAAAACCTGAAAGCCCTAAATTTTCTTCCTCTTTTTCGGTAGAGTATATTAAAAATAAATACATCTGCGTATGCTTTCTATTACAGATATATATCTCTACATATTATATGTATTTTAATATATATGTTTATATACCTATAAAAATTATATACCTTAAAATATATTCGGTTCACAATATCACAATATATAACCAATACATCACAAAATATAATTACATCACAATATATAATCAATATATATAGATTATATCACAATATGTATCAATACATTAATATGGCATTAATAATATGGTAATATATTGATTATAGAGAAATATTTTGTTATTTTTTATATATTATTAGTACCATATTAATGTATTCATTATATATTAGTACCATAATGTATTGATTATAGATATATTATTAGTATCTTTAAAGTATTGATTACAGGTAGATATTTTGTTATATTATCTTATATATTATTATTACCATAATAATGTATTGATTATAGACATATTATTAGTACCATATTAAAGTACTGATTATAGATAATATTTGCTGCTAGCGCATTCCCCGATCTGCGGGATTTGCAGCGCACGTGGCAGCTCCGGGAGCCCGGAGAGCCCCGGGGCCGCTCGGGGCCGCTCGGGGCCGGCGGGACGCGGGGCTGAGGGCTCAGAGCCGCTCCCGGCCTCACCTCGCCCGTGTTCCCCCGCCACAGCCGCTCGGGGCCGGCGGGGCTGAGGGCTCAGAGCCGCTCCCGGCCTCACCTCGCCCGTGTTCCCCCGCCACAGCCGCTCGGGGCCGCGGCTCCGGCCCTGAGGGAGCCTCGCCACAACATGGCGGGGGAAGGCGCAGTGCGGCGCCGCCGCTTCAACCAGCACCGGTGTCCTGCGCATGAGGGACGCAGGGCTTCCCGCTGGCCCCGCCGGGAGAGGCCGAGGCCGGTCCCGGTCCCGGTTTCGGTTCCGTTCCCGGTCCCTCTGAGGCAGCAGAGGAGCTCCACTCCCGCCGCCCCACGGCCGCCAAGAGGGCGGGGCCGTCCGCGCCTCGCGCTTATATAGTGCGGGAACGGCCGCGCATGCGCGCCGCTCTGCCGCCCGCGAGCGCCCCTGGCGGGCGGGAGGACCCAGAGCCGGGAGGGGACAGGGGACACGGGACATGGACTGGGACTGGGGACAGGACAGGGGATGGGACACGGGACAGGGGACACGATATGGACTGGGACACGGGACAGGACAAGGGATGGGACACGGGACAGGGGACATGGGATGTGACATGGGACACAGGATGGGACAGGGGACAGGACATGGGACGGGGGACACTAGACGGGGGACACAGACCCCTGCCCAGGACTGCTCTAGGGCTTCCCACACAGACATGAGGCTGTAAGGGATGGATATTCCTTTTTTTAGCTGCTCCTGGAGTCCCCCATGTCCCATGGCGGCAAAGATTGGGCTCCCAGTGAATCCTGGGACAAAGTGGGGACCTTCTGACCCCCACTGGGACCCTGTCACCCTGTATCAGCCACACTGAAATGTCCCCAGCTTGGGGACAAGCTTTCCCTCCCATTGCTGTGACTGCCCTGGCCAGACTCCGCACCCCATTCCATTGGGAAAACCCCAAGAAGGATCAGGGGGATAAATCCCTTTATTTGCTAAGAACAGACACAAGACACAAGTGGTTTCAGGTGAGATCACCAGCTCAGGAAAGCCACAGGACAGCGGCACCTCCCTGCAACAGTGACAAACTCAAGGACAGGCGCAGGGGCTGGCCTGGCTCCGTTTTCCCTTGCGTTGCTCTGGATAATCTTTCAGAGCTAGAGCCCCTGGGTGGCTGTGACCGCCGTGGGGACACCGTGCACAGGACATCCCGGGGGATGCAGAGCCAGCCCACGGAATCGGAGCAGAGGCACCCAGCCCATCCCCGGGGCTCTAATTGCCCTCAGCTTTTCTCTGCAGCTCCTCGACGGCCTCGCTCTGCCGCCTCTTGTCCTTGGCACGGATGATGGTCATCCTGAAGAGCTTGCAGTAGAGCTCCATGGCCGCGGGGCTGTCGTCATTGCCGGGAACGGGGTAGCTGATCAAACACGGGTTGCAGTTCGTGTCCACCACCCCAACCGTGGGGATGTTCATCTTGGCCGCGTCGCGGATGGCCACGTGCGGCTCGAAGACGTTGTTGAGGGTGCTGAGGAAGATGAGGAGGTCGGGCAGGCGCACGCCGGGGCCGAACAGGATGTGGGCGTTGGTGAGGAGCCCGCCCTGCCAGTAGCGGGTGTGCGCGTACTCCCCGCACGCCCGCGCCGTGCTCTCGACCAGGTGGCAGAACTGGCGCCGGCGGCTGACGAACAGGATGATGCCCCCGCGGTAAGCCACGTGGGCCGTGAAGTTGAGGGCCAGCTGCAGGTGCTGCATGGTCTGATCCAGGTCGATGATGTCCTGATCCAGGCGGCAGCCGAAGATGTAGGGCTCCATGAACCTGCGGGGGCAGAGGGAGGGCGGCACGGGGGACATGGGGATGGGTGTGCGGGCATCGAGCGTTTCTGGATGTGGGGGCCCCACAGGAACCATCCCACGCTCCTGCTCCTGGCTGACAGCAGAGGTGTTCTCTGCAGAACGGTGTCTGGCCTGCTGTCACACCCTCTTAGTGCCCACACCGGGGGGATCCCCGTACCCAGGCTCAGACCAATCCAGCAGATGTGGTCCAGGGAAGCATTCCTGATGTCAACAAGCACTGGAGCACGAAAAGCATCACTCACCTGTGCCGACATCCCTTTTTGTGGCCCAGGTGCACCCGAGCATCAAAGAGATCTTTCAGGGTGAAGAGCTCCTTCACGCTGAAGAAGTCGGGGTGGCTGAGAGGCTCGGTCAGCAGCTTGTCATCGTCAGCTGAGAGAGAAGAACAAACACTCCCTGACTTAGCGGGGACAAGCCGGGACTGCACAGGTGCTGCGAGGTGCCAGCGCACGGGCATCGCTCAAAGCCCGGGGTGCCAGGCGTGCCCGGCAGCACTCACCGCGGGGCCGGCTGCCTGCCGGGACCGGGGCTGGGACCGGGACCGGGGCTGGGACCGGGACGGTGCTGTAGAGCCGCGGGGCCGCTGCGGGACAGAAACACGCGGGTCACACGGGCGGGCCGGGGCGCTCCGGGCCGGGCCGGGTCGCGGTCCCGCCGCTCACCTGCCCGCAGGAGCCGCGGCACCGCCATGCTCCGGGCACGGAGACGGAGATGGAGGAGACGGAGGAGGAGGAGATGGAGGGGAGAGGGGAAGGTCAGCGGCGCTTTCCGCTTCCTGCGGGCGCGGCGCTCCCTGGGGGCGGTTGCGGTCGCTCCCCGCCCTCCGCGTTTGGTCGCCGGGTAACGCTCGGTCCCCGCGGCCCGGCTCAGCTCGGCTCGGCTCCGCCATGGCCCAGCCCAGCTCGGGGGTGCCCCGGCGCTTCGAGGAGCTGATGCTGTACCGCGGCTACGGGTGAGCGCAGCGCCGGGCGGGGCGCCGCTGCCCGCTGCCCGCGCTAGCTGTGCTCTCCCCCGCAGGCAGCCGCCGGCTCACCCCCGCTTCCGCACCGCCAACCAGAGCTACGGCAGCAGGGCCCCCACGGTGCACGAACTGCCGGTACGAGCCCCCCCGAGGATGGGGACACTGCCCCGACCCGCCTCCGTGCCGCTGCACCCAGCCAGGCTTGGCAGTGCTGTCGGTGTTGGAAACATCCCTACCCGCCCTACCCTTGTACCCTTTCTCGGCCCCGCAGAGCTCCTTCCACATCCTCCCGCACAAGTTTTCGGATCATCTGGGCAGGATCGGCATGTGCAGGAGCGGCGGCCTGAACACGTCCATGGAGAAGAGTCACTGCACCGGCCCCGACACCTTCATCACCGCCTACGAGCACCGGGACTTCCACCCCAGCTACAACCCCAGCGGCCCCTCGCACTGCAGGGACCAGCCCCTCTAGGCAGCCAACCCTCCTCGGTACCAACCGCACCCACCAGATGTTATTAGGGGTAATAGATGGAAGATTTAACGTGGTTCAGTGTCAGGTAGCTCATGTGAGGCGTTTTACCAGCAGCATATAAATACTAGGACAACATAAATTCTGTTTTTATCCCTTTATCCCCTTCTCTGTCACTAATGATCCTTTACACTTTTGCTTTATGTACTACATGTCATTAAAAATTAAGATCTAAACTGCCTCTCTGCTGTTTAATGAATAATCAGGTTGGTATAATAATAATAGTAATAATCCAGAGGTATTTGTTAACTCTTTGGATTTCTTGTAGAAAGTTCACGTTTCTTCTCTCTCCAAACTACAAAGTTTTAAGAAATTATTCAAATAATGACAAGTAATCAAAAAGAAGATTTTTATTTTTTTTTTAAGTTTTATTGGAACAACTGTAGGTACAGGCAAAGAAACTGCATCACTTGGACAGTGAGTGCACTGAAAGAACACCTGAACATTTTTGGCTTAAAAATGAGTTTTTAAGAGAAACTACTCTGCCTGTTTATGGATAAGAAACAGTCCCACCTTATAGGTGTAACAGAACATTAAAAATGAGCATAATATTATTCAAACTGTTTGCTAAAAATATAAATAATGAGTGGAACATTATGTCCAAACACCACTGCAACTGACACTCTTCACATGTCAGAAACATTCCCTGACACACCAAAACCAATAAATTTGAACAGATAAAAAAACTGAGCTGAATGGGCCTGAAAAGTTAACATTTCAAAGATTTAACATCTGAAAATAAATAAGCAACTCTCTTCCATTTGCTGTGATCCTCGTATCAGACTCTAGGCAATACCTGGAGCTTCTTTAGAACCTCCCTTTCTGCTCCTGAAATGAGAAAATAACAAAGTGCTTAATCAATAGAAATAGTTGTGACAATGTTACATAAGTTTTTATCCACAGATTTTTCTGCAGGTGGCATAATTTAGGGATAAGGCTGCCTCTTAAAAATATTAACAGAGTGGATTCTGTCACATATTTTCCCACTCCATCTGAAAACACCCACCTCTTCTTTCTTGCCTCAATTTCTTCCCTTTTAATTTTGTTCTTCAAACCAATTCCTTTGAGGAGTTTGGCATGCAGTGTGTCTAAATGTTCAGAGGTTACACCAAATACACTTTTTGTAAAAGAAATACCTGTACAAATTCAAAATACCATCCTAAAAATGACTCATTTTTACCACACAGATTGATCTGCCTGAAACAATCTCTTTCTACTCTATTTTGAAAGGAAGATTTTCACATTTGCAGATAAAATTATGTGAGGCTGAATTACCACCAACTGAAGGGATAAAAAATTGAAAAGCAAAGCAAAGAACTGGGAATCAAAAATATAAGGAGTCCTTGCTGCCCCTTGAGGATCCTTGAAGATTGTTCCCAAAACATCCAAACCCAGTCACTGGGGTAAAAAATGAAGCAATAAACCTCTTTTCAGATTTATCTGGCAGCTGTGGTACTGCAGCCAGGATCTGTAACTCACCAGAGCCAAAATAAAAAACACCAAGTGGTTTAAGCACTTAATATCTAAATCAACAAGTTTTGTGCTCTGACTGGAAAGTAAAATTAGCATTGTGCATTTTTTAAAAATATGAACCAGCACTCATTAAAAACAAGGTAACTTCACAAGCTTTAGAAGAGCTGGGGTTGTCGTTCCTTGTATCTACTGCATTAATTATAATTAATTGGTGTCTCAGGAGGGTGGGAGTAATGAGAACAGGAATTTTCTGGGCAGTCCCCAGAGCTGGCACTGGAGTGACAGGGCCAGCAGGGCTGTGCAGGCTGTGCCCACTCTGTGCCCTCCCTGGGGCTCTCATGGGACTATGAACAGCAAATAAAATCTGCTTTTGGAACTGCTTTTATGAAGATTCAGCCTTGAGAGCTTCGTGCTGCAGTCCTAACCTTGGTACCACGTGTGGGAATTTATTGCTGCTCAAGATAATACTTTTTCCTGCTCAGCCTTTAGTGATGTGTAAGGGATTTCTTATTGCTGCCAAGCCACCAGACTTCTCTTTTCTGAGCAAGCAATGAGAACTGGGCCAGGATGAGGACACTGCCACTGGAGCCCTTCAGTTCAGAGATGCTCCTTGACACACATTCAATCACACAAAGATTCCACTTCCTAACCACAAACACCAGGAAAGAAAACTCTTGGGCTTCTGCTACCACGAGCACCATTCTCCCAAAAGCCACCCCTTTGTATTTTGTAAATTCTCCTCCCTTTTTTTGTTAGAAAGAATTAATGACATCCTCAGTCAGGAGGGAAGAAGAGGGAACACAGAAATTATTACTCACTCAAGATGATGACACAAACCATAGGAACACTCCAGTTGCACGGTCCATGGGCAGAACCCCATTTATTAAACATTAGAAACTCAGCAATGTACACCAGTTCCTATATACAAATCAAGTTCATCAATTAAAATAAAAAAGTGCTGTTTGAAATCAGTTTTATTTAAAGCACAAAGTAACTGTAATTGCATTTTAACTGGGAGTGGGTCAGGTACTGAGGACACAGACACAGCAACAGGGGCACGAGACACCTTTGAAGTCTTAATGTGGATTTACTGAAAACTTTTGAGAAGAAACATTCAGCTTTTTATACAAACAGTACAGAGTGCTTCCAACATCTCTAGGAAAATTAAGTATACACTTTAATCCTTTTAAAGCAAGGTACTTGGAAAACTTCTAGTTTAAAATACCAGCCTATTGACCTATTCCAAACAAAAGGCTCAAATCCTGCAATGGAATCAAGGCAGAGCAAAAGATAAACCTGTGAAGAGAGAGTGCAGGCACTGAGCTAAGGAAAAACCACTTTTCCAAGGAATCCTACCACAAAATGGAGATGAGATAACACATTGACCTTTAAACAACCTGGCCAGCCAACCCCAGGGCTACAAAAAGGTGGCTGGACAGTCAGAAATGCCAAGTGAGCACTAGGAACATGTTTCAAACGTAGCTGCACGACAGCATGAACACACCAAGGATGTTTATTTCTCTACATGCCACAGTTACTACTCTATGCTACACCGTATTTTGCCCACATTCTGCATCACACCAGGGACACCACGGGATTCTGGATCCAGTCTTGGCTGCTTTTGCTCCAGTTTGCAAGTTTAAGGCCAGCCTGGAGGAAGACTCCTGAAGTGACTGAGAAACAGAGTGATGCTAAGTGGTGGTTGGGCTGAGAAGTTCTGCAGAAGAGCAGACAAAGAGAATATCAGATCAATTCACAGGGACAAGATGTGAGAACAAACTCCTCCAAGGACTTCACAACACAAAAATGAAAATGAAAGAGCCAACAGCTCCAATTTACACCTTTTGAATTTGCAGCGAAACCAGTGTGGGGGCACTTTTTTGTGTGTGTGATGTGAATGTGCTACTTCAATCCCGTTGAAAGTCAGTACAAATAAAAAGATAGTAGTGAAAAATTGCTTTATTCTGGCTGCTGGAAACGGAGGCAGAGAAAGAGCCTGAAGAAAGAACAGTGCTGAAAATATCCGTGGCTGAAAAAATCCGTTTGTGTTGTGACTTCCTACAGCAAACTCAGCTTTGCTTTATTGCACCAAAATTGTCCGTGAAAAGTTCACAGAAATGTAACATTTAAAAAACCACTTCTGAAAAAGGAAAGTTAAGGGCACTCAGTTCCAGAAGTTCATTCAGGAAACCAAAAGCCATCTCTGGGTAACTGCAGGGCATCAAAATGAGAGAGTTGAGAATAATGTGGAATTTTTTGAGCCCTACAGATCCAACAATACAGAAATCCAGGGAAATGCAGGGAAATCCACAGAAATCCAGGGAAATCATGTTGTCTGAACAGACACACTCCTTCACTTGTCTTGAACTGCAATTGTGCTTGGAATCATCTGCTAGCAGGAGGTTCTGGGCGTGTGAAAGGACTTTGAGCAGCTGCTGAGATCACTCTGCAGACAAAGCCATCCACTTGATTGACCTGAATTTGCATTTTTATCTTCCAGGCTGGATCTCCACACCCACAGCTGAGTTCTGCTCAGGGACCTCACCCCACACTCCTCGGGGTGGGAAAACTGAGCTCCAGCAAAAGCCAGCCCGCAGGATTGTCCTGAGGCAGCTCAGATCATCGGCATTGCTATCCAAGGCTGAGCTTTCCTAGGATCTCTGAACAGGTTCCCAAATAAATTCCGTGCGCAAACAGGTTTCCCTTTGAGAGACAATTAGAGGCCTCATAATTTAAAGTGTGATTAGCCAATATCTTATCTACAGTAACTACAGCATCCTGTAGGAATGCAAGCCCTAAAAATCATTATAAAAAATATTTCCTTAGAGCACTTTAAATAATTTACAAAATTCTACAAAAGCTATGAATGTATATCCGTGATATCCCTGTTAAATAGAATTATTTTCACATTAGTGTGTGTATGATATACAGGTATCAGCATCTCCCACTGCCTCTCCTTTCCTGTCTCAAGCTTTATCAAGATAATTATAATCACAGTTATTTTATAAAAAGATTGCTAGTGTAAAAATAAAAAAAAAGTACTTACATATTTGAAACCTTTTTTTCCAAGAGGGAACCTGAGCAGTCCCCTGCAGGTAGGTCAGTAAATTTTGCACAGGTTTTGGTTAAAAATTCCTGCCCTTGGTGTACTTCACTAGCAGCTTCCCTGTTCTGCAGGACAGGTATTTTTCCTTCCATTTTGGAGCTGGACACCTGAATTTCTCCCTGCCTGTCAACTTTTTCTTCCTTAATGCACATCTGCACACTTTGATCTGCAGATGCTCCTCCACTATTATGCACTGCTGCTGCTGTCACAATGAATTCCTGCCTTGGGCAAGCTAAACTTGGATCTGGTCTCTTGTCCAGCTGGTTATTCCCTCCCTTACTGTCCTCCTGAGCACTCTGCTGAGCTGGCTCTCTGCTGGCGTTATCTGCTTTTCCCACACTGCTCTCAGGGTGTGGGGGATCTGCAGTGGAGTCAGCCCAGTTGTCTCGCTGGATATCTCCTTCCTTGATCCACATCTGGGTGTTCTCAGCTCTGGAGGTTCCTCTGCAAATCTTATCAGCTTTTCCTGCTGCCACACTCTGTTCCTGCGAGGGAAGGCTGGAGTGGGACTGATCCCCTGGAACCTCAGCCTTCCTGCAACCCTCAGCTGCCTCTTGGAGACACTCAGCTCCTGCACAGCTTTCTGCTACATGGGGACTCACCCCTCCCACAATGAGTTTCTGAGAAGAACTGGCTTCTGTTACTGCTGGTGTAATTTCCCCACTAAATTTGCCTTTTGGCAAGGGGTTTAGTACATCTGTGTCCTGGGAAGATGCCTCCATTCCCAAGGCACTGCTCTGCCTGAGCAAACACTCTGCTTTTTGCTTTTTGTTCAAAAGCATCGATTTCTTCCTGTCCCGGGCATATTTCAGACCTGCAATAAATTTACTTGAGATTTTTAGTTGGAAGGTATTCTTCCTTTTAGATCTGGGCTTTGCATTCATGACTTTTCTCACTTTACATCCTTCATTTCTGCTGGGTTTTGGGGGCTCTGTGTTACGGACATTCCTTTTACCTGTTGCACTCCCAGGTAACTCCTCAGCAGCACCACCTCTGACCCCCCCCAGTCCTTGCTTAGCTTTTGACTGAGCAGTAGTAGGAACATTCTCTGCAGAGGAAGCACATTTTCCACTGCCAGCTAACATTGCACTTTTCCCTTCTGTTCTCTGAGAGTTCTTCACCTCCTCAGTTTGCTGAGCTACCTCAGTCTTTTTACTCTGACCCGGCATGAGGTCGATCTCATTTTCCACCGGCTGCTGCTTTGCTTTTCCTTTATTACCACTTTGTTTGGTTGCTCTAAGTAAGTCCAGACTTGCATCACCTTTCTGCATCTCTGAACTGCTTGCAGAGTCTTTAGCCTTTTCTGCCAAAAACCTCCTGATTTCCTGCTCGATGCTGTCATCGCTGTCCACTGAGCTGCTGTCACTGGCATCTGACACAGCTGGGAAAGCACATTTTCTATTTTTAGCCCCCCGCTGGTTTGAAACTGGTTTATGTTTATTGCCTTTTTTATGCTGTAAGTTCAACTTCAGGTTTTTCACGGTTTCTGGCTTGTCATTGGGAAGTTTGATGTTATCTGGAGGGTTCCTGACTGCATTCTCCTTCACAGCTTTCCTAGATTTTGAGAGGCAGCTTTTCAGCAGTGAGGGATTTTTACATTTCCACTCATTTTGTTGGAGGCCACTGAACTCATCCAGCAGCTGAGTTTCTGTCTCAGTGAATCTGACTTTCTTCTTGCACTGAGCTTTCTGGTCCTTGGATTTCTTCTTTAACTTCCTTTTAGACCGTAACAGGTCCTTGATAGCAGAATCCAGGTCCTCATCACTGTCCAGAGAGCTGCTCTCATCACCTGACCCCTCCCTCTCTGGGGTTTGGATGGGGTTTTTTGTAGGTTTTCTTGTGCTGCTCGGAACCTGCAGAAAAGGATTTGCAGAGTCCAAGGCCACACATCTGCTGCCATCAGAGCCAGACGATTTGGGAGACATCAGCTGCTGCTGCCTCGAGTCTTTGTGACTCTGTGCATCCCGGAGCTCTGCGGGGCTGCTCAGGGCATGCTCCTCTGGGAGTACTGGGAATTTGGAACAGTTACCTGGCTGGGAAAGTCCTGGCTCCAGCTGTTCAGGTAGTTTTGACCCACCTTGTTTTGCTGTTCTGCCTTCCTTTTTAAGTCTCCTTTTCCGACTCAGGGATAATTTCAGTGTTTTGGGCAGAGCAGGCTCAAGGGTCTCAGTGAGGTTGTTTGGATCAGAAGGCAAAGGCATGTGCATGGAGCGTGACAGGCTGGGAGGTTTTGTTCCAAGGTTTTCTGACTGTGCTTTCAGAGCCAAAAAAGCCCTGATTTCTTGCTCTATGCTGTCATCACTGTCCACAAGGCTGCTGTCACTTTCACAACGGGAGGACGAGAGAAGCTGGGGAGAAAAGAAGGAGTCTGCAGTGAGGGATTTACTGTCACTTCCCATTTGGGATGGCATGATTGTTTTGGAAATATCCAGGATAGCTTCTGCACACATGAGTTCTGCAGATGTGTCTGCTCTGCAAGAGGCCTGCAATGTGAGCTCACAAGCAGTAATCTTGTTTTCTGGAAGTGCAAAATGTCTGGCTTTTTTCAGTGGTTTAAACAGCTTATTAAAGTCATTGCTGGTGCTTTCTAATCCCGTTGACTTGGAATTAACTTCTTTTCTCTTGTTGCTTACAGGGTTTTTATGGATTTCTGGTGAGGCACTTTTTGTGGAGCTAATTGTCAGGCTGGCAGAAATGTCTGCCATACCCTTTGGATCAAATGGTTCCCTCTGCAAAGGGACACAGTTTGCTGCATGACCTGCCTCCTTCCTGATTTTCTCCAGCTGGTAAAGCTGAATGGCTTCTTCGATGCCATCATCGCTGCTTGAGTCAGATGTGTGCATGCTCTCCTTGATGAGTGCTTCCCTTGGCTCCCAGTAATGAGCTCCACTTCCCTCATTCTGCTCCACAAGCCAAGGCTGGCTGGCAGTGGCCATTTCTAGATATGCTTGGTTCACCTGGCTGAAATCACTGGGCTCTGCTTGGATTTTTGACTGCAAACACTTGGACTGGGCACTGGATTTCTGCAGCTTGGGATGGTGTCTCAGGAGCAGTGCATTACAACCTTGCTTTATAGCACCACAGTTTGCTCTGTTTGTTGCTTCTTTGTTACATTTCAGGACAGATCTCACACGGGAATCCTTTTTATCCTCCTCGGTAACACATTTGCTAATTTCTTGCTGCTTCTTCTCGTTCAAGAACTGCACTATTTCAGCTTGTATGCTCTGATCAAAGGAGTCATCGCTGCTGATGCTCTGAGGGGAAGCAGGCTGAAGCCTTTTCCCAATTCCCAGGTGGTCAGACAGGTACTCTTCAGAGAGCATCTCTGCTTTCAATTTCACAGGGAGGAGGTTACTCGCCACTTTGTTCTGGGAAAACTCTCTCTTAAACCTTTTGTCTCTGCTCAAGTTTTCAGAACGCTCTGCATTCCTTGGCAACGACTGGGCACTTTTGCTTTTTGTTTTCAAGTACTCTTGGATGGCTTCCTCTATACCTCGGTCCACAGAATCGTCGCTGTCAGAATCCAGCAGCAGAGTCCCAAACTCTACATTCCCTTCTACTTGGCTGCCATCAGAATCCTCAGGGCACCCACACTGGGTGTACTGAGGATGCTTCCGCAGCAGCGTGGTGCTGGATGTGACTCTGGTACTGGTGCCTTTTCCTCCCTTCTGTTTTTTCTGCATAACACAGCCACACTCATTGTTCATACCCAGGGCAGGCTCTTGGCTTTGCAGGTTGTTTATGATCATCTGAACTTTGGCGCTCACAGAGGTTCTGGTGACGTTGCTGTCGGATTCAGGGAAGCAAACGGGGTATCTACAATTCCTTGCTGGTCCAAAGGACTCCCATTTTGTCTGAAGAGCTACCAGAGGAGGAGCATCCATAAGGAACATTCTAGCAGACCACAGCAAAGTTCACAATGGAACAGATTTTCAGACGGGTCTCTCCTCCATCCTAAAACAAATCAAAAAAGGAAAATATTTATTAAGCGTCTGCCTTCTAGAAATTCCATGTAATAATCCTGGTAATATAAACTGTAAATTATTAACACTCAGAACTACTGTGCCAGATAATCACAGGAATTACTCCTCAACATCACTTGAACATAACCCAATTCAGGTAATTCACTTTTGAAACTCTTCCTGTGCTTTCCAGTCCTTTTTGCATGTGCTCCTAAATAATGATGCACTGCCCAGACCCACAAGGACCCACTGTGATGGGATCCAGTGCACTGGTGTGTGCAATCCCCTTTGCACTCAGGCTGTCTGAATATTTTTGCAGAAAAGTTTGCAGCGGGAGAGAAAGAACAATTTTAAGGAATTCCTTCATAGTGGGAGTGGAGAACCCAGCAAAATACTCTGCTCGCTGTTTCCTTTGGCACTACTGCCCTTTTTAAGGATCATGCAGCTCAGCTTTCCAGTTTTCCAAGGAAAGCAGCACTGGCTGTGTCCTCATGGTGCAGGATGGGTGGATGTGGAGAAACCTGGACCACCATCTGGATGGTGGGACATAAACCAACCCCTCCTCAGAGAGCAGAGTACTCACACAATATCCCAAAGCAGCTTTTGCTAGATATGATTTGGCATTAAACACACACAGCTGAAGGACTTGGGGCAGCTGAGAGAAAAGGAAAGGGAACTTATTTCTTCCTGAAACACACTCTACAGCAATAACCCCGAGACATCAGTCATCCGGCCTCACTGCAGGATAAAAGCTCTTGGCAAACACAGATCTTGGGGAGTGCATAAAAGCAGGATGAAGATTAGGAACTATTCTTTGTGTTCCAGTAGAAACCGCAGACAGAACGAAGCTTTGGTTTATGGAAGAGTGGAAAAAGCCACCCACAAAACTCCAGTTAACACCCCAAAGAGTTCACCACCTGCACATAGTCCCATGAGCATCAAAGGCTTCACCGGCAGCATTATTTGGTAGGATCAAGGGTGACAGTAATTCCCAAAAACTACTGCAGCTTGGTGGCTCTTCAAGCCCAGGCTCCACGCAAGCACAGTGAGTCCCAACTGCAGTGGCACTGGACTCTGCCAAGGCACAGGGACACAATCTTCCCTCTGAAACCTCCCTAACCTTGCACTTGTCAATTATTCTCTAGTTCTGGTTTCAAATTAAACAGTGGTATTAAATATTTTAAAGGATTAGTGACTCTAAACTCTTTAAAACTTCTATTTATTTACTGAGAGTAAGATAACAGACAACCAGGGAAGAAGATTCTTCATCACTCTTCGCTTGGGCAAATATAAATTAAAAACATTTTTCCTTGTAATAAGCAGCTAAGGATCAAAAAGACAGAAATTAGGATACCTCATTACCTTGAAGCAATGCAATTAACACACTTTAGCTCCCAGCTTCATTAAAAAATAAAACCCCAACGTTTTTCCTATTAACCTATTTCCACAGTTTTTTCTGAGGGCCAGGTGCCTTCACTATCCCACACTTGGACTGGGGGTCCTGCATGAATTATAAGGGATTGGGGTGAATTTTTGTGTCTGGGCACCCATGGAGACCGTGAGGGGACACCTGGGTGCTGCCTGAGGGGGAACGTGAGGGGACACTCACCCAGGGGATATTCACAGAGGGTGTGAGGGGACATGAGTGGACATGCAGTGAGGGTGTGAGGGGACATGAGGGGATGTGAGGGGACATGAGGGGACACGCAGTGAGGGTGTGAGGGGACATGAGGGGACATGCACTGAGCATGTGAAGGGACATGAGGGGACACCCGCCGGGGGCAGTACCCATACAGGATCTGAGGGGAAATGAAGGCACACACACCCAGGAGGAGTAGGTTACCCTGTGTAACTCTGCGAGGGGAAATGAGGGGACACCTACAGGAGCTGCATGAGGGGACATTATGGGACTCCCACACAGTGGCTAACTACAGAGACTGTGTAAGGGGACATGAGGGGATGCTAGCTCAGGGGATACCTACAGCGGATGTGTGAAGGGACACCAACCCGGGGGGCACCCACAGAGGGTGTGTGAGGGGACATGAAGCGCCATCAACCCGGTTGGCACCCACAGAGGGTGCATGAGGGGACAGGAAGCGCCATCAACCCCGGGGGTACTACAGAGGGTGCATGAGGGGACATGAAGCGCCATCAACCCCGGGGGCACGACATGAAGCGCCATCAACCCGGTTGGCACCCACAGAGGGTGTGTGAGGGGACATGAAGCGCCATCAACCCGGTTGGCACCCACAGAGGGTGTGTGAGGGGACATGAAGCGCCATCAACCCCGGGGGCACTACAGAGGGTGCATGAAGGAACATGAAGCGCCATCAACCCCGGGGGCACTACAGTGGGTGCATGAGGGGACATGAAGCGCCATCAACCCGGTTGGCACCCACAGAGGGTGCATGAAGGGACATGAAGCGCCATCAACCCTGGGGGCACTACAGAGGGTGCATGAGGGGACATGAAGTGCCATCAACCCCGGGGGGCACCCACAGAGGCTCCGTGAGGGGACATGAGGGTACCCCCAGCTCGGGGGTTACCCACAGAGGCTCCGTGAAGGGACACGAGGGTACCCGCAGCTCGGGGCGCACCCCGGAGGGGCTGTGACGGGTCCCCCACCCTCGGGGGCCGCCTGCAGCCGCCGCCCGCGGGACGCCCGCGGGGCGCCGCGCCCGCTGCCCGCGGCCGGCCGGGCCCTGCCCGCGCCGCCATGGCTCCCCCTTCCCGCCTTCCGCCGCCCCGGACCCGGGCCCGGGCCTCCCTCGGCCGCCGGCTCCTCGGCGGGGCCCGGCCGCGCCCCCCGCCCGCCGCTCACCTGCCGAGAGGAGGCCGACAGGGGCGAACGGGGGTCGGCGGCGGCCGGGCCGGGCTGTCGGCTCCGCCGGGCTCCGCTCCGCCGCTGCCCGCCGCGCTGGTGCAGGGGCGGGCGGCGCTTCCTTCCCTGCCCCCGGGGAGCGGGAGGCATGCGCCGCAGGGCTCCGGCGGGGAGGCGGGGAGGGAGCGCACCGGGCCGGGGCACAAAGGCAGCGGCGGCCCCGGAGCCGGCGCGGAGCGGAGGGAAGGAGGGAGGGAGGGCGGTGGCAGCCCGGTAACGATCGTAACGGAAGGGCCGCCGGGGGAAGGGGCACCGCGGCTTCCTGCAGCAGCCCCGCGGGCAGGGCCGGGCTCCGAGCCGCGGTCCGGGAAACCGGCAGCGGAAAGAAGGCGATTGTGTTCGGCTCTTGTCGCAGAGCGGGGGATGATCCACGCGCTCCCTTCGGGGCGCCAGACTGGGGGAAACTCAAAATATCGGCAGGGTGCAACACTTGGCTGTCCCAAGTGCAAAGTTTGGGGTGCAGAACGAGAAGTGAGGTGCAGAGAGCCAGCTGCTTTCAGCCGCTGAAGCGGTCGGTGCTGGGGCTCCTGGAGCTGTTGGGTTGTTGGAGGTTTCACATAGCGAAACAGCAAAGTTTTAGTGCTCTAATTCATCCCTGTTTTGTTGGCAAGCGGGTTTTCCCTGAAGATACACTGCCAACCCTGTGCTATCATCTCTGTGCTTCCAGAGCAGAACCAAGATGTGGGATGCTTCCTTGCGGGACACCCGTTTGAACCTGCTCATTCCTAAAACACACAGAGTGAGTCACGGCTCTCAGTCTATGAATCTGCACAAGCATTTCCATTCCTTGTCTCTGGCAAACAAAACCCCGGTGCCTCAACCCAAAGTGCTGCCTGCTTTCACTTTGTCAGTGCGTTTTGAACACCTGTGATGCTGCCGAGGAAATCAGCATCTTTTGGCTGGGTGTTGTAAAAATCACAGGGGAAAAGCTCAGGCTGGGTGATGGCAAGTGGGGAACAGCAGCTAAGGAGGGTCCCAGGCTGGAAATGGGGTGACTGAGAGTGTTGCACTCTTTTTGTGCTCACTCTGTGGCAACACATCACAAGATATGGGGCTGACATATGGCGAGGAACAGATTTCCGCCTGCTTTTATCCCAGAGATTCTTGGTTTGGGAACACCTGTATTTCTGTGCCCTTTTCTCACCTCCAACTTCACAATTTAATTTTTTTCTTCACCCCATGAATCCTCTACTACCAAACTAGGTCTGACCGTGGGAATGTGGGGCAGGACCATCTTTCAAACCATCAGACACACTTAAAAACTTGTATTAGTTTATCTCTTGCTCTTACAACAGATAAAACAGAGCCGATAAGACATTTGCCTGTGTGTTCTTTTTCCTGGGATATGTAACATGCTTTTATGTTCTGATCTGGCTCGCTTGAACGAGACTGCTGAAAACAGCACAGCCAGCATCTGTGTGCAGGAGGAAACAATGGACTTGCTTTTCCTTCACTGCAGAATTGCAGCCTGGAGGTGAGGAAACTTTGCTTCGCTCACCATATTCCTCCCTAATGCTGCGGCAGAGGGAAGAAAGGGCTCTTGTATTCATGTATCCTCCCGGGCCAAGTCAATTTACATGTGAATGCACTTTTAAAATAAAATTAAAAGTCAAAGCTGTGGCCAGAAGCTTGATAAATGTTTTTGTGCACATGCAGTTGCTGGGGAGGGGAGAGGCTGCTGCTGCTGCTGGAGAGCTCTGCTGTCCCCAGCTGAGGTGGCATTTGTGGCTCTGTGTGCCACTTTTACTTGAAAGAAGAGCAGAGGTGCCATTAGGGATGATTTGCCTTCCTGATCTCTGATCTTGGCAGAAATGAGAGCAGTGGTCCCCATCCGTGCTGGACAGATGACAAAGTCAGGAGCACTAATTGGACCCCTCATTAGAATGGCTGGAATGGCAGGGGAACGCTCACATTTCCAAAATGAAACATCTCCCCTGACCTCCGGATCTGCTGCTCCTGTTTGCAGGGATAGGTGCTCATTACAGGTGCCTCTGGATACCTCAGAGCCTGAAATCAGATCTCAGGCAATGGCTTTTATTTTTTTCCCCAGCAGGAGAAAGAACAAGATTAAAACCAAATTAGCAGGAATAAAAGGACTCACTGGGCAGATTTTGTTGTCGGGTAACCTGTAGCTTCAGGGCCAATTTATATTCCTACATGGAGCTATGTTAAAACACCAGCCACGTCTTCTGTGCTGCTGTTTTTTGGGAATATGGGTCACAACTGATGCTGGCTGAGGGCACAGCCATGTCTAGGACAGGAGGGAAGTTGATAACCTCGGATTCCACAAACCCTTTCCTCTGTTGAGGGCAGTTTTGCATTCCCCGAGCACCTCTTTGGGTTCTGGGGCAAAACTGATTTACAACAGCACAATCCTGCTGTGACCACTGAGTTTTTTGGGGAAAAAGCAGTGGAGAAAGGAGGTGGATGGAGCCCAATCTGATTTTCCCTCACCCTCAGTGTTTAGGGTCCATTTTTCACATGGCTGTACTGAACTTCAGGACACTCAGTGCCTGCTCCAACATCTCCCTGCCCTGTTCAGCTCCTTCAGTCTGATCTCAGATGATTTATTAGATGGAGAACAACTGGATCATGTAGTAACATGGCAAATTGAAGACTTTAGTTGTTATTTAATAAATGCCAAGGAGACGCATGAGGCCTTGAAGTTATAATAGAAAGATCTAATTTAGGAAAAAAAAACCAAAAACCAAAACGGAAGAGACATGCCTGTGATAGCTGCCAGGAAGCAGCGCTGGGTATTGAACATTTCTATTTACCCTCTGAATGGAACAGAGATAGTCTGAACTTCCTTCTAGCAGGGCTGGATGCTGCCCAGGGAAGCAGCACCTGAGGCAGGAGGAGGTTCAAGGGCAGTTTTTGGCAGAGCTCAGTCCTGGAAGCTGTGCTTTGTCTTGCCTTGGAGGACATTGTTGCTGTAAATCACCTTTGGTTGACAGATTTTTTTTAAGGAAAGAAACCAACTGACTCCATGAAGCAAATTAAAGCGTAATTATAGTACAGAGGCAGGTTACAGAATACATTTAACATTTTTGAGTCAAACCTGGTGGGCTTTTTGTCACTGACCATTATACAAAGTACAGCTGAAGGTCTCTGTGGGGCACAGGTCATTGCTTTGGAAGATGTCCCTTTTCCTTGTTGATTCCAAGTGTATCTGGTGTAAGAACACAAAGTGGAAAACACAAATTAGTGCCAAGAATTTTAACTGTGACCCTGACCTTTCCTTGCTACCATGTGGCAGAGACCTCTAAAATATCAAAGGAAATTACATCCCCTCTCTCACATTCTGTACCTGGAACCTTTTAATGGGTTTTGAATGACTCATTCCTATCTAGGTTAAATGATAAATATTTCATGTTTACAATCCTGGACATGGGCCGTGTGGGCTTTTAAGATTTTTCTTTACACAAATCCCTCCTTTCCGTCCATCTCCGCGGGCTTTGCTGCGGGGCAATGCTGTCGGTATTCCCGTAAGGACACTTCCAGCTGGCTCCTGTGCTTGTCACAATTCTGCTTGTGCCCATTAGGTGTCAGACTCTTATCAGCTCAGTCTCCAGTTCCTGCGATTTCGAGGAGAATATGAGAAGCCAGAGTTGGTGTGGCTTTTCTGGGATGCTCTCTTGCCTGTGGGTCCTACCCAAAAAGAGCAAACTGGGTGCTGTGGTGCCCACTGGGACACCAAAAGGGAACTCTGTGCTGGTTTTGTCTCAGGTTTTACCAGCTGAGATTCCTGCAGAGCCACTGCTCATCCCTGGGCTGCAGAATGAGCATCCACAGGCAGCAGCTCCTGCCCCAACCCTGCCGGGTTCTGCAGCACGTTTGTGTTTTAGGCCACCTCTCACTGCATTCCTGAGGTCAGCTCTTCCTATTGCAACAGCTCCTCACACTGCTCCTGTCTCTGTGGGGTCACTGGGGTGTTGTCAGAGCAACAACTCTTGTCCCCTTGTCCATCATCTTTTTGGGATGAACATTTGGAACTGAGTGCTGATGCTTGGAGCCAAGCCCTGCCAGCACCACGAGTGCTCGGATATTTCCTGCACCTCAGGGCTTGGGAGCACGGCTGAACACGTGGGAATTCATTCAGGGACAAAAAATCAGGCTTTTTTTATTTTTTATTTTTTTAATGAATTATGTGCAGTTTCCCACAGCAGCACTTTGATTCCAGCCACGAGGCAGGATATAAACATATAAACACGGGCATTTGGTGCCATGAGCCGAAGTGGCTGGTGATGAAAAGGGGTCTGTGAGCCTTAAAATGGTTTATTTAAAGGGCAGGATCAAAGGTGTACCTTGGGATAGATACCTGCCCTGCTACATGAAGAAAAGCCAGAGTGAAACACAGATGCTGCACTCACTTTATATTTCAAAAGGAAACTGCTTTGACTTTGTGCTGCAGTTGCTGAGAGCTTTAATGGGGCAGGGGGAGGGAAAGAAAACACAACATGCTCCAGCTGCCCTCATTACTGCTTTTCTGACTCTCTGCTGAGGAATCCCAGCACAGCCATGGACTTGTCCACCTGCAATTACCAGGTCCTGCGTTTGCAGAGTGCTTTTCCTGACTGCTGCTCGCCCTGGAGCATCCCTGCAGCCCTCTCTGAGGCAAAGGCTGCTGGATTCCTTCTGTGGAGCAACTCCTGATTCCCAGCAGGATGTCCTGAGCACTGTCCCAGCCCCCATTAGCTCTACACCGGTGTTTTTAAGAGGCATCTTCAGCTTTTCAGATCACCTTCAAGGAGTGCTCTATTTTTAGCATCCTTGGACTCTCTTGGCTACAAACAAGTGAAACCTCTCTGTGGTGAATTCACAACAGGGCAGATGGCAGGGGTTCAAAGTCTCTGTCTGAAGTGCAGCACGATGGAAATGAGTTGTCCCTGAGGTCCCTGAGGAGCAGGCTGAGCCCACAGAGCCACCATGGGGTGCTGCTGTCCAGTCCCAGCAGGACCAGGGTGCACAGCCTCATCCAGCGATGCCTTTGCAGTTGCCAAATGCTCTTTGCACAAGCGGCTTTGATCAAGGATTTGCAAACAGCTCCTGTGTGGTCCAGTGCTTAAAATGCTTCCTTAAATAAGTTTTGGATCAAGCCAGAGATCACCGCTGGTTTGAATTTTCACCAGACTGACAAAACACGCTGAGCTGGGGGTTCGGGCAATGCTTTGACTTGGGTTCTTCTCCAGCAAAGCAGCAC